GGTCCCGTGTACAAATTGGCGCGCACGTAAAAGATCCCTTGGCAGTTGGAATTCGATATAAGAGTAGGCCGTAGCGCCGCTGCCCGGGCAAAATTTCCCTCATAGCACACTGTATGGCGTATGCCCGTCTTCATTAGCCCAGTTTGGAGTAGAACAGTAGGACATTAAACCCCATTTCATTTCAAGATATGTTGTACTTAAAAGATCCCTTGGCAGTTGGAATTCGATATAAGAGTAGGCCGTAGCGCCGCTGCCCGGGCAAAATTTCCCTCATAGCACACTGTCTGGCGTATGCCCGTCTTCATTAGCCCAGTTCGGAGCAGAACAGTAGGACGTTAAACCCCATTTCATTTCACGATATGTTGTACTTAGGATGTGGCTACCGGTTTGTCGGAGGCCGGCTTTCCACGTCTGACAGACGACCCATGGTACTACAAAATGGAAAACCATTGAAATGGCGGCGTTCCGAGACATACAATGTAGATAAAAACATGTATAATTTGTCAGAAGTTAATAAATACTCTAAATGCATTAATAAAAGATGATGGAAAGAATATTTAGACGCATCTACAAATATAATATTTGTGGACATAAAAATGCTTATATACATGTATTCACTTTTGTAGATATTAAATATTGCATTTGACTGATTCCAATGATATACGGTAAGCAATTGAAATGGCGGCGTTCCGAGACATACAGTGTAGATAAAAGCATGTGTATAATTTGTGAGAAAGGTAATAAAGATTCTACATGCAACACCAAAGATGATCGAAAGAATATTTTAGACGCATCTCTCATTTAGAATGATGAGGTCAATCACAAAGTTCTAAAGATCATTCACTTTATTACAATAAAAATATAAAATATAAAATACACAAATAATACAACATAGCAAAATGAGCACGCGATGATCTACACTTATTATCCTTTTAAGTCAACTGGCGTGGTTTCGAATCCCCGGTTGTACGTGACAAGGAGTAGGATCGCCTGTCCAACCTCGTGGGTTTTCTCCGGGTCCTCTGGTTTCCTCTCACTGCTAAAGACCCCTACGCGCCGGTAATATAACAACTCACTCGGCAAACCTCAGCAGATTCTAGTACCCTACATTTAGCCTCGGCTGTATGACGAAATCCGACATTGGAACTACTTTCAAGTTCTCGGATTTAACGGTGTTGCCCATGACGACGCATGTGAAGAATGTTTTATCATACAAATATTTCAAAGTCTGAAGCTGTTTTTCTTTCAAGTTTATCCGATTTTCTGCAAACAAGGACAACTTTGCACTGAAAATTCTAAACACGCTTCGAATGACGCAATTTTGATAACTTCTTTTCAAAAGCGGCAAGTTTTCCCAATAAGTAAATCAATGCCGCATCGCAATTGTATAGGCGTAGGTACATATCACTTACCGTCATACAGCCGAGGCTAGATATAGAGTAACGGAATCTGCCGAGGTTTGCCGAGTGATAACAACTCTTCCAGATCCTAGCGTAGTTTTTTTTAAAAAAAAAACAATATTTTTATTTAGGTTGTCTGAATGCGATTGGGGAACAGGCTTAGCCTATGTAAAACCCCTCTCCCTAAATAATTTATATATATATATATCATTAATGCAAAATGTGTGTATATACATAGTTATAATGGCAAACACATACATATTATATAAGTACAGTGTAAAATAAAATATAATGGGTGAAAATGTACAGTAAAGACAAGTTAAAAATTAAACGTAATTTTGAACTATAAAAAACGAAACGAAATAGGATCTGTGTTTTAATCAGATTGCTGTATCCCAGTGGTATTATTCCGTTCTACTCCACTATAAACTGAGTTCATTCACGGGGGAGACACGTGGTCAAATTATCCACCCCCAATTCTTGTGCTATTTTTATCGATCAATCGAGTGTTTGAAGGGAAGTAACTACTGTATATCATTGGGGATAACGAGGATGCTCCAAAGGAGATATATCACAAGGACAAGTAAGCGCAATGGGAACCCAGCTGCGACCGCGAGAAGATCACCGTAATGAAATAAAGAGTCAATGGCTACAGCTTATCCAATATGTACTAACACAGAGTGATTGAACACAATATGTGAAATTTGATCAGGGTGACACAAAAAAAACGTTCATCAATAAAAATCGAATAACTTCCACAAATTTATTTAGATTAACACAAAAATTCAGCTACATTAGGTTAAGTCTATGTAGCAGACATCTCCAAAATGTCAAGTCTGTGCCATAAAAACTCTTTGTTTAACTGGCGCTCAAAAAATGTGCTCTAAATGAGCTCCCCGGTGCTGCAAGCACATTTGGATCCGGCGGGCAAAGTTCTCGATGACCCTCCCACATTCTTCCCTTGAGATCGCTTTTATTGCTGCTGTGATTGCTGCCTTCAGATCAGGGATAGTCTGGGGGTTGTTGCCATACACCCTGTCCTTAAGGTATCCCCACAGATAAAAATCTGGGGCGTTCAAGTCCAGTGAATGCGGCGACCACTCCGGGTCACACCTGCGGCTGACCAGTCGGTCAGGGAAACGCTGCTGTAGCCATGCCAATGATTCGTTTGAGGTGTGGGGGGTGGCACCATCCTGCTGGAACCACTGGAGGTCCCTGACGACCCCTCTTCGTTATTCAAGTTTAGGTGATGAACGCTTTTTTGTGTCACCCGGTATTATATGCACATTTCTAAACGCGACCACCGTTTTGTACACTACACGTGACAGGCTCCACTTACCACCCTAAAATGGGCCGCATCACACAGGTACAAGTAAGAATATAAAAAAAAAGAATAAAATGAGAGGAGAGACGATGATTGACGGAAACCGTGAACAATGTGAGACAGCAAGTCAAACATTTTAATTTAGAATAGAAAAATAATCCCAAAGAGGATCGCCCAAATAAAGTAATATATGCTAATGTCCAAAACAAAGTATACACACTAAAAATGGGACTAAGTTTTGTTTAGATTTAAAACATTTGATAAAACATTACCGACTTTGTCTCTTGCGTCCAAACTCAACATTTCTAAGCAAAAAATGTGAAACAAATTGACATTGTACTCAAATACCGGATACAATGAAAAAACGACTATATGCTAATGTCCAAAACAGAGTATACACACTAAAAATGGGACTAAGTTTTGTTTAGATTTAAAACATTTGATAAAACATTACCGACTTTGTCTCTTGCGTCCAAACTCAACATTTCTAAGCAAAAAATGTGAAACAAATTGACATTGTACTCAAATACCGGATACAATGAAAAAACGACTATATGCTAATGTCCAAAACAAAGTATACACACTAAAAATAGGACTAAGTTTTGTTTAGATTTAAAACATTTGATAAAGCATTACCGAGTTTGTCTCTTGCGTCCAAACTCAACATTTCTAAGCAAAAAATGTGAAACAAATTGACATTGTACTCAAATACCGGATACAATGAAAAAACGACTATATGCTAATGTCCAAAACAGAGTATACACACTAAAAATGGGACTAAGTTTTGTTTAGATTTAAAACATTTGATAAAACATTACCGACTTTGTCTCTTGCGTCCAAACTTAACATTTCTAAGCAAAAAATGTGAAACAAATTGACATTGTACTCAAATACCGGATACAATGAAAAAACCACTTAGGTTGATGCAGCACGAAATGAGTATACTTTCTTCTGGACATTAGTTTACTAATAATAGAACTGTTTGGTTATCGCAGTGGTTCTCAACCTTTTTTGCCAATGGCACACCTTGGAACACATGACAAAATAGTGGCACACCTGGCTAAATATATATGAAAAATATTTCAATTTTGCAAAATAAAAATATACAACCGTAGACACAGAGTAGTCATAGATACATAGAATGACACAAATTGAATAAAGAACAACACAGCCATTAACTTACTTTATTGCAGTGTTTCGAATTTCATCAGTTAAATATCTGGCTTCTTTAGTGAGAAATTTTCTTTGTGTGCCGTTCAAAATTTAGCGGCACATTTAGGAAAATCTCGCGGCACACCGGTTGAGAATTACTGGACATTCGGAAACGGCTAGAAATGACAACAGCATCCTGTTGCCGTTGCGCGGACAGGGTGTTAAATATATTGGATATTAGAAGGCCCTGGAACCACGGTTGTGAATCACGACGACTGAAATGAAATAAAATGAAATGGGGTTTAACGTCCAACTGTTTTGCTCCTACTGGACCAATGAAGACGGGCATACGCCATACCGTTTGCGATGAGGCAGTATGGCCTAATCTTATATCGAATTCCAACTGCCAAGGGATCTTTTACGTGCAACGCCAGTGTATACACGGGTCTTCGGTTTTTCGTCCCATCCGAACGACCTGACAGCTGTCCTTGTTAGATCTTGCGCAGGACGACTGTAAATGTGAAATAAGTATTGCACCTTTTCTCAAACAATAACACATATTATTTCTTCTATATAAAATTTCCTAAATGCTAAAACCTAATTTGTAGGCCTACATCAAATATGTTTAATACTCACATCATAGGAGCTGGGTTTCATGGCGGTCCATGATCCGAAAAATCTCTTTTTGGCTTAGCGAATGGTTATAATTATACTATACATTTCATTTTCAAAATAGGGGGGGGGGGGTGGATGGCTGAATGGTTAGCGTGCGCGCGCTGTATCATAAAGTCTGTCATGGAGTCGACTGGCGTGGTTTCGAATCCCCAGTTGTACGTGACAAGGAGTAGGGTCGCCTGTCCAACCTCGTGGGTTTTCTCCGGGTTCTCCGGTTTCCTCCCACTGCTAAAGACCCCTATGCGCAAGAAAATTATTGAAATAAAATTAAAAACCATATGTTAGTCCCGAAATGACATAGTTTGTGTCGAGTGGACGTTAAACCCCATCTCTCTCTCTCTCATTTTCAAAATGAATGAGGGTAGGGTATGAAATAGGGTTTAACGTCCACTCGACATCACTTGAATGAGAAAGACACAAGTTTATAATGTTAAATGAAGAGCCTCTCATTGTATCTAAAAACAAACGTTTCGTATTTTAATGAATATCTGCAGGCTTATGACATATTTCTTTCTCGTACCAATCACCAATATTATCGTACACTTTTTTTTCATTAAGCCACAATCTGGCCTTGTAACATAAACCACAATGACTTAGTTTGTGCATAAACATGGAATTGTCTCCAGTTCCGAACCAACTATATATAGATTCATAACTCTGTTTATTTTCAAGGTATTGTCTATAGGCTGTATCATTTCTATCCAAGTATAGAAGAAAATTAGCCAAGTCTTTTACTGATTTAAAATCGCTTGTATCAATGTAAGTTTTTGCTGGGGCTATTTTTGAATAATTTGCCCCACCCCGCGTTACGGCGACAATGTCTAGTGATTCAGGGCGAAAGAACTTTTCAGATACGTAATCTCTACACAGACTGTTCTCAAAGGACAGATAGAATTTGTAAGTTTTCGCATTTGATATAAAACAGTCGTGGGATTTAGGACACGTTAGATTGCCACATCTTCCATAGAAGTCAACGGGTATGTACTTTCGTAACAAGTTGATATATTTTTCACGTTGACTCGGTACACCACAATTACTGGAAAATATAGATACCAGTTTGAACTTCTGTTTCATGATGGCCGTGATATTTTTCTTTAGGGGCTCTTTTCTTTTTCTATAAAAACCATATGGAGTAAATTGATCCGAATCTACGCGATACGTAAACGTTCTGTTAAATTTATTCCGCCATGACGGCTTGAGCCATTGGTGAGAAGAAGTAATAACCGGTGATTCCATCTCGCGAAAGACCCAAACTTGATTTGGATTTCTCCTGACTGGTGGGTTTCCAGCTAATGAGTCGCCATCGAAAATTAGAATATCACTGTTGATATCCTCAGTGTATATACAAGAATCGTTACATTGGGAAAACCAATTTCTTAGTGTCTGTGAAGATAGCCCAGATGGTCTATTATACCAATGTATTGTAATACGTCTCTTTTTATTAGACCTAGATTTATTAGAACTTCTAGTGTTGAGATGCGATGATACATTTGTTAAAATATACGGGTTGCTGGGATGTTCTGGCTGTAAGTGTTCTGTCTTCAGATTGCTGGGATATTCTGATTTCGGGTTTCTGTAGTGTTCTGACTTGGGATTGTTGGAATGTTTTGATTTCACATTGTTGGCGTGTATTGAGTGCGTATCGTCCTTAGATGAATTAAGAGGCATCGCTTCTTTCAAAAAATTTACGAACACCTCATTGGTGGCCTCCGTATCGTCCTTAGATGAATTAAGAGGCGTCTCTCCTTTCAGAAATTTTACGAATACGTCATTGGTGGCTTTCAGATTTGTCAGGTAAAGTATCACCGTTAAAACCATGATCAGGATGATGACTAGTTTACGTTTTCGATTTTCCGTCATAGTGCCTTTTTCGTAAAATCTGAATTTAAAAATTAAAACAAGATTACAAATACATAAGAAAGAAGAAGAAACTAAATAATTATATTGGTTAAAGATGCATTATATAAAGCTATATCTGATTATTGTGGGCCCTTTTTTCTCGCTTCAAATGGTATATAAATTATTATTTAGAAATTTATTCACATAAAAATCAACAGACCGAACAAAGAATGGCTTAGATATTGAATGGTTTGGGCCATTGGTTGATGTTATTTCAATTATTAATAAAATGCGAGTTACTTCCCTTCAACCACTCGATTGGTCGATAAAAATTGCACAAGTATTGAGGGCATTCGGCAAACCTCGACAGATTCTACGCATCATTTCCGCCTTATTTGAACTATTTTAAAGGTTCCGAATGAAAAATGTCTGCCCCCCATGGAGATTTCTGTGGAGAGTGTATTATATCAACAAACGTCACGTTTGGCATTGGGTTTGGGGAATTACCAGGGAATTTTATCAAACCAGCAGCCTTGAGACAATATCTCTGCTCATTTAGGTATATACACTCTACAAAAGACGCAATTTGGGACTTTTTTGTAAAAGCGACACGTTTTCCTGTTTAAAGTAAACCGGCAGCCGCATCGCAAATGTATGGGCGTAGGTACATATCACTTACTGTCATACAGCCTAGATTAGATGTAGGGTAACGGAATCGGTCGAGATTTGCCGAGTGGTATTGAGGGTGGATAATTTGACCACGTGTCTCCCCCGTGAATGAACTCAGTTTATAGTGGAGTAGAACGGAATAATACCACTGGGATACAGCAATCTGATTAAAACACAGATCCTATTTCGTTTCGTTTTTTTATAGTTCAAAATTACGTTTAATTTTTAACTTGTCTTTACTGTACATTTTCACCCATTATATTTTATTATACTTATATAATATGTATGTGTTTGCCATTTGCATATGAAAGTTGATACTGTGCGAAAGTTGCTATGTAGAAAGCGTGAATGACAAATGGGATGTGGCAGAGCGCAAATGTAAAATGTAATGAGAGAAATGTAAAATGTTGACACGTCAAAAATAGCATTTTCCCACAAAACATTTGTCATTTAACACTTAACATTTGACGTTTTACATTTAACTCCTACCTTAGAGGTATTAGGACTTTGTACATTGTACTTTTTACATATAATCAGTGGAAAAGACATTGTAGCAGAGCATTTAATATTGGCAGCGACACCCTTCCATATGTTTCGGGCATATATTTCATCAGTCATATGTGATACGAGATATCGCTCTCTGAAACTTTCTGGTTTCTTTTGCAATTTGTTTGGGGTAAGACGTTATCACTCCCCACCCGCGTGTAAATAATAATATTAATTAAATATATAAACCGCACAAATTTAACAGATTCAAATAATGTACATGTTATTCCACAGGTAGACATACATTGAAGGGGCCCAGTGAAGGAGACGCAGTTGGCTTAGTATTTGCGCCCCATTTCCATGAAATAATCGTGTTGTTCTGATGCTCAACTAGTATCAAACATATATCGTGTCTGAGATTTGTTCGAGCATGTTCCACACATCTCAACATTTATAAGCTTTTTGTTCAATCTATAAATGCCTACATTCTTAGAAAATGTTTTGTTTAGTCAAGTGAAACAAGTAAAGGCTAAATGGAACAATAGAACAAGTACACCTTAATGTCGACAAATACGTAAAACTATGAAATAAGATACGTGTAATTTTATGACATGATTCAACCAAAAGGTTCTATATATTCAACATAGATATATAATATCTACATTCAAGTTAAACGAACTGCATCTATTCATTTTAAGTATTGCGTCGAGCTGAATAAAGTATATGATTTATTGTCATTAAAGGACCCATGGGTGGTTGGTTAGCAATGTGTAACTAAAAACTATGAAATTATCTTTACTGCCAACATTTCAATACACCTAGATTTTTCTACACTAAGTCTATTCCATCTAGATGTTTAAAGCGCCTTAACAATATATTCATTTAAGAGCAACTATGCCATTTCGGGATTAATATACCACATATTACAAGTTATACCAAACGGAAAGAAATGTCGATTAATTAATATTCCACCAATATGGATTTTATTTTGCGGGCCATTTTGAATTTCTACCATTCAGAATCCTCGAAATTCATTTTTTGAGATTATCGCTGCCCTTTTATTACCAAATTAATGTTGTTTTGTTTTGGACCATTTTGTAGAAAAAGGTAAAAGATAGTCAATTTTTGAAAAATATTTCAATAATTTGAATATTTTTGATTTGACTTGTTTGAAACTCTTTAAATCTTTTCGCAGAACTCACATTTTGACACAATTAAGAAAGAATCATCAATTCTAGAACAAAAGGCACATGGACCTGAGCTTCAAACCGGTATACAAAACAGTGCATAACTTTAAAGGGTCACCATTTCTGCAGTAATTATTTTTTGTGATTCTGTATTATAATAATGTTGCAAAAATAAACGTGAAGCTATAAAGAAAAGAATTTTGATGATATATGAACTTATAAAACCATATAGGAGGCAGACCACCATTAAATTTCACCATCTCGATACCCACAAATTGTAATTCGTCTATTTATAGCAATTCTCTCTGTGTCTCTTTTCTCCCCTTTTGCATGCCCATTTTTGTTGATTTTTTGGTCTAGAATGGATGATGAGGGTTTGAATTAACGTTTTCTGTCAGGTTTTGGTAAATATTCATGATTTTGAGGCTGAAGGATAATGGGTTTATCAGGTTGGCTACGGTGACATGTACGGCAACTAGTTACATGTTTTTAGTATGCTTCTTCAAGTTTGTGTATCTCAAAATTTTTGTGGTCAACCTCATACAAATTTTAGTGCAAAGACATGACCATTTCTTCCTCTCTGTCCGTAGTGAAAAGAATTCAGCCCAATGAAAATTTGGGGAAAAGTTGGAGGTGGGCAAAGAGGCCAGAATTAACAATGAAGTCAATGGGGAAATTAATGGTGGCCTTCCTCCATTTGTTTAGGATAAATTGTAGCCGTAAAACGTTATACCAAGAAAAAAAAATAAAACATTTTGTTAAGTAAAGCTATATAACGCCATGACGTCATAGTTTTTTATGGCGTCATAGTTGGGACCCAAAATGGCGCCTGTAAATAAGTTGTCGTAACTTTCTCTATACAGGGCTTTGCCCAGGGGCAGAGCCACGCCTATTTTCTTATTGTGCGTCTGTGTGTCGCCTACATGCCACAATTCTTAACTCCTTATACCCTAAGGATGATCCCTATTGTTTTTGGTGCATGCCCGACCCCCAGTGGCCCCTTACTTACTCCTTCTATCCTAAGGAACATCTCTAACATTGTTTGTGGTGAATGCCCAGCCCCCAGGGACAGAGCCACGCCCATTTTCTTTTTGTGTGTCTGTATGTCCCTTACAGCCTGCAATGCTTAATCGATCACCTTGAAAACTTTTTTATACTTATTCCTTATACCCTAAGGCTGGCCTCTATTATTTTTGGTGCATGCCCGACCCCCTGGGACAGAGCCACGCCCAATGTTTGTGTGTGTGTTTTGTGTCGCCTACAGGCCGCAATTCTTAACAGATCCTTTTGAAATTTTGCATGCCTATTCCTTATACCCTAAGGATGCCCCGTGTTGTTTTTTGGTGATTGCCCAACCCCCAGGGACAGAGTCACACACATTTTTTCTTTGTGTCTCTGTGGGTTGCCTACAGGTCACGATTCTTAATGGATTGTCTTTGAACTTGGGATATGTATTCCTTATAGCCTAAGGACGACAACTGCATGTCCCGACCCCCAGGGGCAGAGCTACGCCCAATTTTTGTGTTTATCGTTTACAGGCCGTAATTCTGAATGGATCAACTTGGTACTCGGCATATGTATTCCTTATAGCCTAAGGGCATCAACTATTGATTTTGGTAAATGCCCCGACCCCCAGGGGCAGATCCACGTCCAATTTTTGCCTTTAGCGGCCAAAGGCCACAATTCTGAATGGATTATCTTGGAACTTGGTATACTTATTCCTTATACCCAAAGGACGGCAACTATTGATGTTGTCATTTCAATAACAGGGTGGTACCTATTTATATTGTTTCTATATCCAACCCCTACGGACAGAGCCACGCCTATTTTTTGTATTTATCGTCTACAGGCTGTAATTCTGAATGGGTCATCTTGGAACTTTGCATATTTATTCCTTATACCGTAAAGACAGCAACTATTTATTTTGATGCTTGCCCCGACCTCCTGGGGCAGTGTCATACCCATTTTTTTGTTAGTATTTTGTCTGTAAATTTGGCAAAACAAACCCAACGCCGAGCCTTCTTTGCCTCTGATCATATTACAGCCATTTCATATTTCATTCTCTTCATTTTAAAAAGTACCATATCAATCAAAGCCGGAATGTGGACGTATATTGCAGCGTTAGCGATGCTCTTGTTAGTGAAGCCTGTACCATAACAGGCCCGGAATTGTACAGTGCAGTGGACGCTTACGGCTGGCCCCCGGATCCATTCACTTGATTTGATATTTGTTTCTTTTTGCAATGTCTATTTTCTGTCTTGTCCGCAGGTTTATCTTGTAGATTTTTGTTTTGCGTGTAGTGCGATCTGTTTCAGAGAAGACCGTTTGAATACAAAAATAACATAGGTTCTACTAACAAGCATGAAGATCAGAGATTTATTTTTGGAACAAAAACTACAAGGACCTCCGACTAATTTGAGGAATAGGAGTTATTGAAGCATTTCTAAGTAAGAAGGGGTATTTTGAAATAGATAACCGATGTGAGTAATATGAGATGAAAGTTTGAGGTTTCCAACTAATCCTGATTTATGGCATAATATAATAACTCGTATGGAAATCAACGGGTGCTAATCTCAACACTAACCCTGGACCTAGCCCGAATGCTTACTCCAACCCTAACCTACAAACTCGTCAACAATCACCTGTCCTAATTTATACATCTCAGCGACCTTGACAAAAATTGAGCTGGCCTTAACAAATAGATTTAGCCATGGAAATCAGCTTTCTGAAATGAAATGGGGCGTAACTTTCTATTTGTCTGCACCAACTGGGGTAAATGACGAGTAGCAAAGGCCAGTGTGCAATGAAGTAAATATTGCCGGGGCAGCGGCACTTCGGCATTTTATTTCGAATTCTATCTTTAAATAGGTCTTTCTGAGTAATACACAAATTCCCTTTACATTATCTAGTTTATACAAACTACCAGCTCTTTATCTAATCTCCCATAATATATCTTTAAATAGGTATTTCTGAGTAATACACAAATTATTCATACATAAATAAAGTTAACTTTAACACAAGTTTCTCCATGACTGTTACCAAGATACAGAGTTATTGTTTGAACTGTATAAATTTTAAAAGGGATTGATCTTAACTTCATGAATAATTTCAGCATTGATATTGTCATTAAAATTGTGAACTCATATGGGTAACAAGATTTACCCAAATCCATGAATATTATCATTCATAAAATTGATTTTGATTAAATCAGCTGGTTGTCTTTTTGGGGAATCTGAATCCCCTGCTACAAAAATGTGAAAGTTAAATCTCTAATAGAAATATCAGTTCAAAAATGATTCAGTTCGGTTTGGGATTGCCTGTCCACCTCGTGGGTTTTCTCCGGGTCCTCCGGTTTCCTCCCACTGCTAAACACCCCTATGCGCAAGCGAATTATTGAATTATAATTAAACCATATGTTAGTCCCGAAATGACGTAGTTTGTTTCGAGTGGACGTTAAACACCATCTCTCTCTCTCTCTCTCTCTCTCTCTCTCTCTCTCTCTCTCTTTTTCTCTATATGGCTCTCTCTCTCTCACACACACATACATGTTTATGGTGTAAACCGAGGACTTTGACTGGATGCTTCTAATCGAGGTCTTGATAAATATTGCATGTAACTAAAAAACACAGTTATGTCTGAACTCTAGTACATCAAACGATTTGAAAAATATATAAATAATACAATCAGGGGCTATAATTTAGGAAGTTATGGCCCGATATGCGCGAATATCGACAGGAACCGAGATTTGGGGGTTATAAACATACATTTCAGGTTTAAACCAAATCGGATACAAATTGTGTCCTCTACAGTGTTCACAAGCTAAAATCGTGACTTTTCCTACATTCAGGGGCCATAGTCTATGAAGTTACGGTCCGATACATGCCAATATCGAAAGGAACCGGGATCTTGGGGTGTTAAACCTATATTTCATTCACAGACAATTGTGGACATGAAAATGTGGGCGTATAAAAATTGATGTATGGTACAATATCGCGATAATGTAATCAGCCGAGGACGCATATTATGTTTCAATACCGACACATGGGGACTTGATGAACGCCAACAACCTAGTACATACACACCTACATCCGAGGACGTTACAAGTGTATATCAATAATATAAATTGAGTGGGATCAACATTATATCCGCGAACAGAACCCCTTTGAGCACATTAGCAGCCCATTGAAAATATAATTTTGTATTGATTCAGCCACTTAAACTTCTAATTTTTAAACCAATTGTGAAAACACTTTATAGGGTATTAAGTAGGCCCTATTTATATTACTTATTAGTTTCTCGTCACAAATCTATATTATGATACTGCTTGTGAACTATACATATATAAGCCTCCGTATTTTCCATAAATTCACTCTCATATGCTAGTCAAAACTCGAAGTCGGAGTTTTATACATTTTATTATAAAATTGTAATAAATTGGTTTTATATGAATGAATAGAATAAAAAATAAAGTCTACAATTTAAAACAGTATTTTAATGAGATTGGGTCAATAACTACGCATGACCGCCTCTGATTACTAGCAGAACCTTGTAACCCAATTTCAAGTTTTTCATTGACAAAGAAAATAACTCAGTATAATACAGCTCTGAAATTAATTTCAGAAAGTTTAAAAAGAAAAACTTTACCTTTAGAATGTTTACAATGTTCATGTGAGATGGGCACTGTGGTATGTTGTAGCTGTAAAGGTCTGTCACAGAGTTAATTGTCGTCAATTTGATCCCAGACCTAGTGATAACAATGAGTAGGGTCGGGTAGTCTTTCTAACTTCCATAATGCGTTCGATAGCCAATAATCGACTTTCTACATTTAAAACGATAACACTGGCGAGTTGGTTATTGATCTATAATGTTGATTTTTGAAGTAGGTTATATTAACAGCTTTAATATAAAAACATAGTTCGTCAGGAAAAGAAGCATACGTCAAACCACAGATAAGCGTACCATCAGTTTCTTGTCAGTAGTGAACGACGGAGGCCTCACATGTAACAGTGTCTAGTCGTTCCGATGAGACGGAAATCCGTGGTCCTGTATACACGTTGCTATGAGCGTTCATTTACGAAAGTTGTAATTCGAAATAAAATGCCGCAGTGCCGCTGCCTGGACAATATTTACTTCATAGCACACTGACGTATGCTGCTCGTCATTTACCCCAGTTGCTGCAGAAGACTAGAGAGTTACGCCCCTTTTCATTTCAGAAAGCTGATTTCCATGCGAGTCATTATATTATGCCATAAATCAGGATTAGTTGGAATCCTCGAACTTTCATCTAATATTACACCCATATTGTATAATCTACATGGGTTATCTATTTCAAAATACTCCTTCTTACTTAGAAATGCTTTAAAAAAAAACCTATCCCTCAAATTAGTCTGGGGTCCTTCTAGTTTTTGTTCCAAAAATAAATCTCTGATCTTCATGCTTATTAGTAGAACCTATGTTATTTTTGTGTTCAAACGGTCTTCTCTCAAACAAACAGCCTTAAAACAGCATTGTCAAAGGGTTTTTAAATACTCAAACTTACTCTACAATGACCATTTCACAGCAAGTGTCAACTATATGGATTCTTATTCTTCTTACTTGGAAATGCTTAAACAACCCCTGTCCCTCAAATTAGTCTGGACTTCTTGTAGTTTTTGTTCCCAAAAGACATCTCAGATCTCCATACGTGTTAGTAGAACCATTTTGATTTGTGAATAGTAATGATGAAATTTATAAGATTTAAAGTTGATTTCAATGTTTACATGTATGTTTTATTTGTATTATAGTTTATTTGTATATTTAATTTCTGCACCATATTTTGTAAAGCGCATGTGAGCAGTTAGTTGTGGAACTTGTGTGCTAATTGTTCAATAATAATAATAATTGTAAACTCATTCCCTTCAATGCTGGGTTCCTTTTGAACAACATCGAATATGTATGAAGATAATACATTCCGTCCTATGAATATAATATTTGTGCACATAACAGCGATTATATTCACGTTTATAGATATTCGATTGATTCCGTACGTCCAATGAAAAATTGTAGTATTATGGTCTTTGCGACCATATTGTATCTTAAACTAATCATTGGGTTTACATACATGTGGTGTAGGGAAGTCATATCTCACGTACTTATAAACACGATTGAGTGGTTGACACATAAAAAGATTTATAAACCAAAACAGAGGTGATTCTAGGTGAACCCAGAATATCATATTTTATCACTTGTGTTGGAAAATTCCTATTGCATTATTTCGCTTAGTAACCAATCATTATATTAATTACGTAATATTTGTCCAATTAAATAATTGACAGTGCTGTCTCAAGGACACTGTCAATGTTATAAGACTGATTTAGGTCCTATAGCTTTTAGACAGTCGCCCAATTCGGGAGAGACCGCTCAATCTGATTAAAATACAGATCTATATTTCGTTTCGTTTTTTTATACTTTCGATGGCCTACACTACATGAAGCACTCGGCAAATCTCGACAGATTCCGTTACCCTACATCTAATCTCGGCTGTATGACAGTCAGTGATATGTACCTACGCCCATACATTTGCGATGCGGCTGCCGGTTTACTTTAAACAGGAAAACGTGTCGCTTTTACAAAAAAGTCCAAAATTGCGTCTTTTGTAGAGTGTATATACCTAAATGAGCAGAGATATTGTCTCAAGGCTGCTGGTTTAATAAAATTCCCTGGTAATTCCCCAAACCCAATGCCAAACGTGACGTTTGTTGATATAATACACTCTCCACAGAAATCTCCATGGGGGCAGCCATTTTTCTTTCGGAACCTTTAAAATAGTTCAAATATGGCGGAAATGGTGATACAGCCGAGATTAGATGCGTAGAATCTGTCGAGGTTTGCCGAATGCTACATGAAGATCTGGCCGGTTGTTGCGATAGGTCATGTCAGAGGTCATACGAGCGGCAAGTTAGCCTATGACATCAGATATTTGATTACATTTGATTAACCAATCAGCATTAGTGTTACTAGTGGATTACCCACAGTTCCGTGCAAAACACGCCTAAAGCTCGCCGTAACTGACCGTTTCATTGGCTAATACCTCACACTATTCAGTACACGTCAAAAATAACAACTCTTCCAGATCCTAGAGTAGTAAAGACAAGTAAAACGAAAATTTAAACTATAAAAAACGAAACATATAGCAACTGTGTTTTAATCAGCTTGTAGACCGCCTAGGTTCAAGAGACACCAGCTAGATGGAGTAGACCCCATTGATTTGTAGGAGAACCATATGATGGTGATATTTGTCAGTAAACTCGATCTGAAAATAAGCGGGTGGAGAGAAAGACAAGTATTGTAATCTATGTTTGTAACTTATGTATTCAGAGCTTAATATAAATCTGTAGTCAAGAGAGAGAGAGAGAGAGAGAGAGAAATGGGGTTTAACGTCCACTCGACACAAACTAGGTCATTTCGGGACTAACACATGGTTATTTCAATAATTCGCTTGCGCGTAGGGGTCTTTAGCAGTGGGAGGAAACCGGAGGACCCGGAGAAAACCCACAAGGTTGGACAGGCGACCCTACTCCTTGTCACGTACAACCAGGGATTCGAAACCACGCCAGTTGACTCAATAACAGGCCTTATGATACAGCACGCACGTGCTAACCATTCGGCCATCCAACCCCCGCTGTAGTCAAGAGACTCTTGTATTTGTTGTTTCGGTCAATCATACCATTTAAGATGCAATATATTCAACCACAACGTGAAACTGTGATTGACGTGGAACGTTAGAATAGGAAGTAAAGAAACATACTAGACGACCAAGGGCTGTTCCAAGATATGTTGTTGGGATCACGTGGCTAAGTGGGTAAGACGCTGGCTCGCTAGCCTGGAGTTCGGGTGTTCGATCCCTGCATTGGCAGAGAAAGTTCATCCCGATTTTCCGGCGTGGTTTCCCCTTGTCAGTGATGCAGGACGGAGGGCCTGACAAGGACAGCTGTCTAGTCGTTCGGATGGGACGAAAAACCGAGGTCCCGTGTACAAATTGGCGCGCACGTAAAAGATCCCTTGGCAGTTGGAATTCGATATAAGAGTAGGCCGTAGCGCCGCTGCCCGGGCAAAATTTCCCTCATAGCACACTGTATGGCGTATGCCCGTCTTCATTAGCCCAGTTTGGAGTAGAACAGTAGGACGTTAAACCCCATTTCATTTCAAGATATGTTGTACTTAAAAGATCCCTTGGCAGTTGGAATTCGATATAAGAGTAGGCCGTAGCGCCGCTGCCCGGGCAAAATTTCCCTCATAGCACACTGTCTGGCGTATGCCCGTCTTCATTAGCCCAGTTCGGAGCAGAACAGTAGGACGTTAAACCCCATTTCATTTCACGATATGTTGTACTTAGGATGTGGCTACCGGTTTGTCGGAGGCCGGCTTTCCACGTCTGACAGACGACCCATGGTACTACAAAATGGAAAACCATTGAAATGGCGGCGTTCCGAGACATACAATGTAGATAAAAACATGTATAATTTGTCAGAAGTTAATAAATACTCTAAATGCATTAATAAAAGATGATGGAAAGAATATTTAGACGCATCTACAAATATAATATTTGTGGACATAAAAATGCTTATATACATGTATTCACTTTTGTAGATATTAAATATTGCATTTGACTGATTCCAATGATATACGGTAAGCAATTGAAATGGCGGCGTTCCGAGACATACAGTGTAGATAAAAGCATGTGTATAATTTGTGAGAAAGGTAATAAAGATTCTACATGCAACACCAAAGATGATCGAAAGAATATTTTAGACGCATCTCTCATTTAGAATGATGAGGTCAATCACAAAGTTCTAAAGATCATTCACTTTATTACAATAAAAATATAAAATATAAAATACACAAATAATACAACATAGCAAAATGAGCACGCGATGATCTACACTTATTATCCTTTTAAGTCAACTGGCGTGGTTTCGAATCCCCGGTTGTACGTGACAAGGAGTAGGATCGCCTGTCCAACCTCGTGGGTTTTCTCCGGGTCCTCTGGTTTCCTCTCACTGCTAAAGACCCCTACGCGCCGGTAATATAACAACTCACTCGGCAAACCTCAGCAGATTCTAGTACCCTACATTTAGCCTCGGCTGTATGACGAAATCCGACATTGGAACTACTTTCAAGTTCTCGGATTTAACGGTGTTGCCCATGACGACGCATGTGAAGAATGTTTTATCATACAAATATTTCAAAGTCTGAAGCTGTTTTTCTTTCAAGTTTATCCGATTTTCTGCAAACAAGGACAACTTTGCACTGAAAATTCTAAACACGCTTCGAATGACGCAATTTTGATAACTTCTTTTCAAAAGCGGCAAGTTTTCCCAATAAGTAAATCAATGCCGCATCGCAATTGTATAGGCGTAGGTACATATCACTTACCGTCATACAGCCGAGGCTAGATATAGAGTAACGGAATCTGCCGAGGTTTGCCGAGTGATAACAACTCTTCCAGATCCTAGCGTAGTTTTTTTAAAAAAAAAAACAATATTTTTATTTAGGTTGTCTGAATGCGATTGGGGAACAGGCTTAGCCTATGTAAAACCCCTCTCCCTAAATAATTTATATATATATATATCATTAATGCAAAATGTGTGTATATACATAGTTATAATGGCAAACACATACATATTATATAAGTACAGTGTAAAATAAAATATAATGGGTGAAAATGTACAGTAAAGACAAGTTAAAAATTAAACGTAATTTTGAACTATAAAAAACGAAAC